TTTTATTTTGATCGGTGTCCGAGGGCTCTTTTCTCGAACAGTAGGTGCGATACCTGTTCTTTTCTTTCTTTCGATCATTTTGTTTTCTTTTTCCGAGTGGTTTGTATCCTATTTTTGTTTTTTGTTTTCTCGCGGCGTCGTATGTGCCGGGTTTTGAGACCACGGGCTCCCCATTTTTTGTGGACTGTAGAGCTAATGTGAGAAACAACAACAACAACAACAACAACAACTGTACTAGACCAATAGTACGCGTGCGCTGTAGTACTGCCAGTACTTCTAACAAGGGCGTGTTGGTGACGTGATTCTTCGGCAGTATAGTTTCCAAGGCTAAACAGGAAGGAGTCCTCACGGGTCCCTTCCACCTGGAAACCGTTCGGTGCTTTAAACGTCTCGATGGCGTTCTTCGTAACCGCCGGCACGACGTACTCCTTCCGGTTCAGGTCGAAGATCGGTGCGGGCTTGTTGATGCGCAACGACGGCTGCGAACCTCCTCCACTCGCATAACCGGTCACCACCACCTGGTCTTCTTGCGCCTCTTCTTGGTTTGAGGGACCCGGTGCTAGTGGTCCCGCACCGGGAGCTGCGGTCGAACCAGAACTACTGCTGTGCAGGGTGGAAGAGGCATGTTTTTGTTTAAGTGACCAGCCTCAGGATAGCAATTATATGTTCCTGCGCGAACACGTAAGTCGCGAGGGAAGGGATTGCTGTAACCTTCTCGCGATAAATATCTCAGGCAGGAACCGCAGGAGGGGGTCCAACCCCCCCTCCTATGTGACCCCGGTTGGGTCGTCTAGCTGGTAGAAGTGGAGGATAGGGGCCAGAGGGGCAGACGACAGCGTCCAATGATGGGAGAAAAACAAACAAAAAAATAATGTCAATCTCGTGCGAAAATTCACGGTCTCGAACCTTCTCATCACATCTCACCCCAGCCTGGACTCAGAACACCTCATCACGCACGCGGTGGCCGACAGCCTTTCCGAGCTGACCTAAGGCGCAGACTGACCTCATGCATGCCTAGGTGCGTGTATACCTCAGCAGGTCGTTTTTGGTGAAGGGTAATAAGTCCTATGTTTATGGTTTCCAAATGTTCATGTTCCTTTCTTGGACGAATGTTGACTTTTGGGACCTTTTGGGCAGTCTGCCTCCCGAACGAGTGCGAATCAGCTGTTCGACCTTTCGAAAATGGTTACAGCTTTGCCTGAGATGCATACAGACCGCCTACTATTTGTCTCGCCAAGGTCCACGTTTTGTTTGATTTTTTTCCAGCAGAGCGAGATCTTGAAGATTCGGCCGAAAGGCCACCTTGCAAACCATAAACATGGGCCTAAAAAACATGGGCCGAAGGGGGAAATTGCGAGGAAAGTTTGCTGCGCGAGGAGTGCCCAGGTTTTTGCCCCACTTTTGACGCACAGCAGCCGCTCTACAGGAGGTCGCTATTATTTAGAATGGAACCTTGTACAGTCCTGTGCGCGTGAAATTCGGCCTATCGCATTCATCCATCACGCCGTTTGTCCCGAACCAAGAGCGCCTCTAAGCGGAGGAGGCGCGGGGTACATAGTGGTAAGGGGAAAGAGAACAAGGGCGCTGTTGGGAACGGACTGGGGAGTATTGCTGCTTGGTAGCTTTGCCCGGCGGCGAAGAAAAGGATGTCCCATGGCAATCAATTCCGTGCGGTCGTTGTGATGGCCTGTGCATTTTGGGCCCCTGCTCGGGCCGCGGCAGCCGATACGTGGAGCCCTCCTTCGCTAGAGTTGGTGGAGAATGGGCTCGCCACGACAGCAAAGGACGACTTCAACGGCCATGCAAGAGCGTTCGAGGCCGCCGCAACTTGGAACGGAGAGAGACTCCGTCGCAGTCAAGACGGAACCCGTGCACCGCACCTATGTTGTGCCGAGTACGGACACGGACGCGAGACCTTCTCGCGGCTGAAGCAGTTCCTGTCGCCCGACGCAGTGCGGGTGGTGTCTCACTCTGAAGACCACGGGGCTTGTTTCCTTGCAACAGCGTCCCATGCTCAAGCGTCCGCGATAATGGAGGACCAGGAGCAGTTCGGGTTGGAAAGCTTTTCGCCTTTTCCGTCAGCGTTGAAACTCGCCCCGGGGCTAGTTGACCACAGCGAAAGCCGCGAAGTGGAAGGGGAACCAAGCAGCGGTCAGGACCGGCTGGGTGCGAGACATGGGGGAACGATGCGCATGTCAAACGTGGAAGGCCTGAACGTCAAGCTTACCCCTGATACCCTACCGGCACGCTCGGCGGGGGCCGAGTCTTTTATCATCGATCTGCTCGGAGATCTGATGTCAGCATCGGTAGACCTGCACTCGACCAACTTCTGGTCTGACCCGGTTATGGCGGGGGGAGAACACCTCTCTTCTCACGGGGGCGCTGTACGAGCGAGAGATTGGAGCAAAGCTGCCAGTGTTGTGCACGAGCTCAGCGAGGCAGCAGGCACGAGCCCTGGAGATATCTGTTCGTGGGACGAGGTTGCCTTGATCCAAGCAGGAGACGATTCGCTCCTGGTCACAGGTATGTGGCACGCAACAACAGTCTGTCGATAGGTGATACTGTTGTATTGGAACAGACAACAGACTCGAAATCGGCCCAGTACATCAGTACCCAGCCGGTTTCCCTCAACTCACTGCTGTAATGACTCAACATATCCCCTTCGACCGTGCTTATATTCTACAGCAGTACTGGTAGCTCGAACGGGTTGTCTTTCTGTGCGTGTGTTTATTTTTCCTTTAAAGTAAAACTTCTGTGGGACGTCTCATCGTGTGCCCAAAACGCCGCACACACTCACACGAGGTCGTTTTGCGAAGAGCTATTTCTGGTGTTTTTTTTTTTTTCTTAATGACACAACGAGTCCATCTCTATGATAGAAAAGAGTCAGAGACTTTTTGTGTTTGTTTTGTTTTTCATTCCTTCGTTGTGTGTGTGTGTGTTTTCGTCCTATTGATTAGGACCGCCTACGCGGGATTTTAAGATTATCTAGAAAAAGAACAGGGAGGGGGCACGCAGACCCTATCCCTAACCCTAACCCTAACCCCAACCCCGAAGCACGGATTGAATACTTTATCCCATATGTTTGCTTAATCGATTTTGCCGCGTAGACTAGCGATTTATTATGGCGACAGTCAGCCCCCCCATTTTTCGTGGTGAGACGTGTACTACACTTTTCAGCGTATATGGAGTGGTACACTTTTCAGTGTATTTTTTCGTACAACTTTCCAGGGTCACACAGGAGGGGGTAAACACCAGGGCTTTTTTCTTCTTTTTATTTCATTTCATGCCACACCTTCCTCCTGCGGTGCGTGCTGAATTTTATTTTTTCGCGAGAAGGGTACAGCCGTCTCTTCCCCTCGTCAATGGTGCTAACGTCGAAGTTTGGTACTCACGAGAGCTTTTTAGCTATATTTCGCTTTCACCCGCAAATTTCGTAATCTTTTCACCCCGTGGGGATTCGAATTCACGACCTCTGCGACTAGCGGATTACGAGAATACCACTAGACCACCGGGGCGACCGGTTGTTGGACTCTGTCGTCTGCCCCTCTGGCCCCTATCCTCCAATTCTACCAGCTTGACGACCCAACCGGGGTCACATAGGAGGGGGGGGTTGGACCCCCTCCTGCGGTTCCTGCCTGAGATATTTTTATCGCGAGAAGGGTACAGCAATCCCTTCCCTTGCGACTTATGAAGTCGGTCAAGTTTACTAATAACGTGCTTTGCAGCGCGTCGGTTCCAACGGAGACCAGGATTTAATCAGCGAGAAAAAACTCTCTCTGTCGGGACTCGAACCCATGACCTGTGTGGTGTTCCGTGTACAGCATAGTCTGGATTAAGACTGCCGCGCGAAGTCGTAGAGCAGTGCTTCGAATCATTTTTTGCGATGATTGGAAACAGGGGATACATGCATACGGATGCCGAATGACGCCGTCGTGGCTTGCAGAATACTACCTCTGCTCCCCAATACAACAAACGCCGGTTCGAGAATTCATGATTGTAAGACCGGTTTGTAGGGTAGGTGGTTGGGTGTTCCTTTTTGAGGGATTTTTTTTTGCATTGTGCTCGGACAGCAACAGTATAGGCGCTTCGTTAGATCGTTCGGAAAAAAATACTTGGGGATTTTCTTGTATCATCTCCTCTCCTGAGAAAATTAACTCCGGCGATGGTCGTCAGCGGAAATTGTCAGGAAGGATTTTTTTTGGTGTTTTCTTCTCCCGTGCGGCTGATTCTTGTACACCTGGATTCCTTTCCCAAAAGGCGGCTCTTTTTCCTGTCTCGCGGCGGTCTGGCCTGTTTCGGCGTCTCCCATGCTTGTTGTGATGCCATATGTTTTTTTTACGCACGCGTGCCGAGCAACCATCAACAGCCAGCGTGCAGAATAGCAAGCCCTTCGGCGTAGGGTTGCTGGGAGCCCTTGGTGGGAGCGCTACATCATCAGGTCGCACTCGCCGATGATGTCGTCTGGGTTCACCAGCGGTGAACTTTTTGGGATGAGTAATCTGGGTGGGCACCATCCTGATTTCTTCCAAACTTTTCGGGTGGAGGCCACCCAAAAAGCTGAACCAGAATTTTGTCGACCCGGGAAACTGAAGAATCTGGCTGTATAAGAAGCTAGATTCCGCCCATCCTGAAAAGTGAAGCTTTTTGGGAAAGGAATCCAGGTGTAAAAGGAACCGCCTACGCCCCCCCCAACAGTGTTCCCAAATTTTTTGGTTGCTTTGTAGTGTTGACGACTTATGCTATCAATAGACCACCGTTTCCAAATGTTGAACTTTTGTCTTTGTTTTGACCGGGAGAAAAATGTCAGGGTGGCGAAAATGAGACACTTGGAAGAACAGAAACGACGGGAAGAAATATCTTCTCGAGGAAATGTGCTTTTTTGGAAGAAAATAAGGGTTCCTGACCGGGAATCGAACTCCTGACATCTCATGTACAATTTTTCGAGGTGTGCACGGCAGTATTTCGTCGGCCTTATGTTGGGGAGCAGGAGTATCATGTAAAAGCTCTGCTGCAGGCGCATGTGTCGACAGACCAAGCGTCTTCTAGTTTTGCGTTGTGACCACGGGTTGGAGAGTACTCGAGTACAGCACTCAACTCACTTAGAAGACTCCACCACATCCCGTTCGACTGTGTATGTGGGAATATCTCGAACGGGGGTGGTCTTTCTGTGGGTGTAATTATATATAGTATAGGGCACACCCTGCTCCCGTCACGCTCTCGCTGTGTGGTGTGTGCAACACACGCTGGTTGGTGGGACTCCCTCTCTCACTACAACCCATGTCTAAGCAAAAGCTTGTCGAGGAGCGAGGGGAAGAAGGAAGAGTTATGCAACACGTTTTCCAACACGTCTGCACGACGTTACCTACCCCTACGGCCCGTCATGGCCGAGCTGCTCTACACTCCCATCACACACAACTGAGC